CACCGGGAAGGGTCGCTAAGCCTCTGAGATTCCGGAACATTTACATGAAATAAAAATTGCCATCAGAACAACTTAAATACCTTTTGTGACAAGTTCTTTTTGTGAATAACTGGTGGCGGCAACTTTTTTTTTAGCTTCTTGATACCATCATATGCCATTTTTATACTGAGAATATCGAAGTACCCTTTCAATGTATTATTTCATCTCTCGCAAAAGATTAAATATTTTGTTACTAGGTCAAGAAATGCAACACAAAAAGACATTTTTTTTTGTTTACATAATTTTTATTTTGTTATTCATATGAATAAAACATTCATTCATAAGGAAAAAAAATTCCATTGAATAACATAATATAAAACTGGAAGTTTGCAGTAAAATTGTTTACAGAACTAACTATAAGAAAAAGTCCCATTCATGACTACAAGCAATCCAAGGTGGCGACCATTCAACATCCATATACAAATTTCTACTAAAAAGTGTATTATTTTCCTTGTGCTGCAACTGTTTTAACTATTTTTTCCATTCTCCCATTTGGCTGTTTTAATGATACTGTCTTCTCTTCCAAACTTATTGGTCTTGTGAGGCTCTTTGAGGACCCTCCTTACAACTTAGCACATATCTGAGAGTAATTTATGTAGTTTAATCCAACTTGTCTCCAGAAGGCGGTGATTTTAAAGTTTTTCAGAATGTTGCTTCTAAAAATTGTATGCTAGAATACAGTCAGTCAGAAAGATGTACAATATCTTTTTTTTCGCCTCAGACATGTAATTGACGGCGTCAGTTTGCCATTGCATGTTCGCTTTAGTAATACAGTTTTCATCATCGGCTTGTGAGGACTGATACAGATTTACTATAGTAATACTTCTTTCTTACTTGTAGCCTACTTTCATTCATTTAAGATGGTTTATTTATACATAGATCTAATACAAAACGTCTAATTAAATTTTTTCTTAAAATTCAAATGTGCAATTAAATAATGCTTCAAGGGATTTTCGATAAACACTATCACCGAATAACGTCGATTTGCCGGAAAAAATATGAAACTTTATTGTTATTTCTCGCCTCTACGTTTTAAGCACGTTAAACAGCTAAAGGTTCAATCAAAATTAAAGAGCTGACTTAATAACTTTAAAAGTCTATAAAAAAATATAGACCATTTATTAAGTTCCTTTGCAATTAATTAATTAAATAATATTAACATAAAAATATCAATTATTATATTTTTTACTGTTAAATTTCTTTCTATTTTAAATAGTATAGACCCGTTTCCTACTTTTGGCCGCTAAACCTCAATCATGAAGATAGTGTTTCTTTCAGGCTTTTTCTCCGAGGCTCTGCCCCCTACCCAAAGAGATGCCTGAAAGAAACTCTGCACGCAGACCCCTTTTAAGATTAGACAAATAAATGAGGTGGTAATGTTAGTGTCCTTATTATCGAGTATCGGCATTTAGCTCGAGGGAGGTGACAGACAATTATAAGAACTGTTGAAGTTTATATTTTCTATTTAAATTTAATGAGCTTTTTCTACTTCGTCACGAAGGGTATACGTGTTCCAGGAGTAGTCCCCCCCCCCCCCGCCTCCCCCCTTCCCCGCCTACCGGAGAGATGGATGAATGAAACACTGCTGCTTAGTTAGAGTGAGCGTCTTTAAACTCTTTAATTAAATGGTTCAGATAAAGACAAAAACAATCACTTACATACCTTTTAAAATATTAAGAGAAGAAAATCACATCCTAGATTGTTCCCTTTTAAGTATTTAAGTCCTTTGTGAAAATTCAGTAGAGACCAAAGACTTTGAAATATGATATATTGGAAAGTTTTTAAAAAGAGAGAAATGTAGCACACTGTAAAATATAAAGGCAAAGATTTCAAAAAAGCTAATGAATAATTCTGGAGCATTTTTAAAAAAATGGAATTTAAATTCGGTCAATGTCACCCCGACTCTGTGAGAATTAGGTCACTCTTATTGGACAATTCTGATTGCTAGAGAGATTGTGTTTCTACTTACTACATTGTCATTTTACTACATCTGTTTTCTAAAAAAATTTAAAAAGTTTGCTAAATAAGATGGTACACACTATTTTTTTGTACAACTCTGATTGCTAGAGAGATTGTGTTTCTACTTACCACATTGCCATTTTACTAGATCGGTTCTCTAATTAAAAAAAAAAAAGTTTGATAAATAAGATGGCACACACTCTCATTGGACATTTCTGATTGCTAGAGATTGAGTTCATAACTATCACATTGTCATTTTACTAGATCTACTATCTAATTTTTTTTAAAAAGCTTGATAGATAAGATGGTATCAACGGCTTACATCTCGGGCAGATGATGCTCGTTAGCTGGGGACAGCCACTCTTATAGGAGAGACAACTCCAAAATCAAACAACTGCTGCCTTTTAGTTTGTTCTTGGTTGGACAAAGGCAAATCCAAAAAGAAATGCAGGCTGAAATCGGAGTCAATGGTCTCAATGGTGCATAACCAGATGACACGTATATTTAATTGAGTTCGAGATTGGATCCCTTCCAACACTAAAATTAAGAACGAAGAAGAAGAAAAGAACGGCTTACTTATTCTTCTTGTAAACCCATTAAGCTTTTCGTATGCTGCAAAAGCCTATGTAGACAGCGATTGTTCTCTGTCATTCCCATAGTTTGTTATTTTAAAAAAAAATCAGTTTTTGTCATACCAAATGAAATGTGATTTGCGGGGTGAAGGGGGAGGGGAGGGCACTGCCACCCCCCTCCCCTGTAACGCACCCGGAAAAAAATAGAAACAATATAGATTTATGTAGAAAATATACACTTTAACCAATGTCTCAACCTCCCTCTATACATCGAAAATTTAAGTGCCCCCCGCCCTCCGAAATTTTCAAGTGCTCCCGTCTCAGAGAAAAAAGTCTGATAGAAAAAAATGTCTCTAGCTATCACAGACCTATCAGTTTGACCTATCTGTCCTTGGAAAACATTTTCATTCGGTGTCTAGTGTCGATTGTTAAACTACCAAAAAGATTAGATAATAACTTTTTGCGTAATATTTAAAAAAAAACTGGTCCTATAGTAGTATAGTAGTCGCTACAGCAGCAGTTCCGAGTCACACCCTGTATGGGAGGGGGGGGGGGACGTGAGGGGTCAGTCGGTAGCATGGCTCTCTCCACTGGTCCCCTTCGCTGGCTCCCCACGTAGCTATCATCTAATACACTTAATTAAAAGCATTGCTTAAGAATACATAAACAAGTAGTAAAGTAGTAGTAGTATTAATAATACATAAACAAGCTGTAGAGCTTAATCTATAATCACAGAAAAAGGTAAGTCACCATTGGGTTGTTTTTTTAGTATGTCATTGCGGATCTGTGGAGGGGATGCAGGGGTGCAGATAGGTCAAGAAATCAAATCAGTGTTACTTCCAGACTTTTTTCTCCGGGGGGGGGGGGGGGCGGGGGCGGACACTGTAAAAAGTATATATTTTCTATATAAATTTCATTTCGTTCGTTGGGGGGGGGGGGGGACGGTAGACTTTTTTCCGTCCCCCCCCCCTCCCCCGAAGAGATGCCTGGAAGAAACACTGAACACGTAGATCTACGCCATCTGCACAACTTTCTCCGATGCAAGCGGAGCTAATACGGCATTATTCTCCACTGCTAGGGGAGACAACCAACTTAAAAAAACCTGTCAGCGGTAAAAATTGTTACACGACTTAAAACATTTGATTTATTTTGGATAGCCAAACATTCTTTCCCCACTACATAGCAGTGTTTCTTCCAGACTTTTTTCTCCGGGGGGGGGGGGGGGGGGGGGCTTGAAATTTTCGGGGGGGGGGGGGGGGGGGGTTAGACTTTCTTGGGGTCATCCATAAATGACATCACGCTTTTTCCACGATTTTTACCTCCCCCTCTCGTCACACAAACTCACAAAAAGCTAGCCCCTCCCCCCTTAATTTGGAATGGAAAAGTGTGACGTCACACCATCCGAACATCACCCCCCCTCCTGCTCATCACACGCCGTCACAAAATTACGGACCCCCGCCCCCACCCCCCTACGAGTGTGACGTCATTTATGGACGACCCCCTTTTGCCACACTTCACAACCTTGCATGAAAAGTTTCGAATCTGTAGCCTAAGCAAAAATAAGGTGATGTTATTTTTAAGATCCTCAATATTCGAGAGCTCTAAATGTAAGGGGAGCAAACCAGGTTCAACAAAATGTAGCAGGATTATGCGGTACCTTTTTCACTTTTCGTTACGTATCCTGTTACTCATTTTTGTGGCAAAAAAATACAAGGAAATAATCTAAAATATACTGTGCCAGGAGCTTAGCTGTAATGTTTTATCTCAATTTCTTTATTTTCGTCTGGTTTTCCCTTGACAACTGTAGTGTGGTTAGTGACATTATACAAGCGAGGATGAAGAAGGTAGAAAGGAAATCAAAACTTTGCAGATGAAGTAGATTATGTTATGACATCGGCACTTAATCTGGAGGGATTGTATAGTTAGCACTATGATCCCACGCATTTATTTATATTTTCAGTCAAAGACACATCGCGTATATTCTACATGGTGAGGGAACCTTCCCAATCCAAACATTCATGTTCAAAACAAACACATTTTCAGGATCTTGACTTTGTCGAACAATGTCTAACAAATGTTATTTGTTTTGTAATAAATTTGTTTCAAATTTTGTAGCATTTGTTCATGTTGGTGCTTTATCTGTAAAAATTATAACATCCTTTATCTTAAAAAATAAAATTTGTAAATTTATTCTTTATCTTCAAACTTTGTGTACCAATAGACACCATGAAAAAGACCAGTCTTTCTCTGTAACTGTTAAAATTTAAGTGACCTTCATGTTAGCCAGTGTGCTATACAAATAAAAATGTTTCAACTTTAGAGGGCTTAATCAAGTTTTCTGAGACCCTTAAACGTGTCAAACACAAACTGTTTGCTAAAGCTGTAAACATGATTAAAGTATAGTTGATTTTACAAAGACTACAGAACACATAAATTCATCAATTTTATTCATATATTATTTGAAACCACATTTTTTAAATTTAACAAAACAATTCTCGTTCACATCTACATATTTTACCAGACAAACAATCTTTCATCCAGTCCATGAATATTTGTTGGGGGAAAAGTGCAAATAATGAAATAAATAATGTAGAAATCCCACATGTTAATACCTGGTGAAGAATAACAAGAGTTTTATACAATGCTTCACAACAAAACAATTTAAATAGTCAAAGAAAAACTCATGTGCCATTCATCTCATACAATGGTTTTGGTGTTTGATATTCATTCAAATAAAAATTGAACAGAAACCACAGCGTTATAAAAACAAGTGAACCAATGGAATTACAGACCACATCATCTTTGGCAACACCTTGAACAACAACATGATGCAGCCGAGTGGTCCAATGCTGAAGTAATACAGGGTTCCACACAAGGAACCTTCTGCTCATGACCAGACACCTGGTGACTGGTCAGCTTGACCAGTTGTACAATCACAGCCCTACTGGTTGGTATCACAGAGACTTTACTGCTTGCCATTGGCAGTTTCCTGTTTGTCTTCATGGCTGAAAGCAAACACAATTTTAAGGTCTATTATATAACTCATGTGGAAATAATTTCAAACATTGTGATACAATTTTATAATACAAGAAATTATAAATCTACCTCTGTACTTAGCTTCACAATTTATCAAAAAGATTTCTAAATGTGAGATTTTATTCTACAGATTAGCATTGTAAATAAGTTTCTTGTCTAATAATAATATGTATAGTTGTAAACAATGAAGCATATTTGATTTTACTTGGCTGAAGTGTAGCCTAAATCTAATAAATTACACTCGATCCAGGTACAGTTTCTTTCATACTTTTTTTTCAGGGGAGTGGGGGCAAACACTGGTTAAAGTATACGAGCCGACCCGCGGCATATCATACGCCGCTATTTAGTTGTTTTATTTTCTACTTTTCAGTAATTCATAATTTGTGAATTTGACAGTACCAATGCTGCCACTGAAAATATTTGCTTTAAAACACTATCATTAGGTCGTAAAGAACGATATTACCCCCACCCTCCTTTCCCCCAACCCTACACCCCCCCCTCCCCCGTGAAAGCAGCCTCCTCTTAGTTACCTCCCCTAAGTTTAAAATAGTTTCAAACTAAATTATCTGCCCCTAATAGCCGTCACTAAACCCGCTCTATGAATGTAAACATTTAGCGTGAACCACAGCTCACCAGACCATGTAGGGGTGGGGAGGTAGGGAGCGCGCTTACAGCTTGTTTTCTAGTGTCTCCCAGAAGAGAATTATATATATAGATTTTCTACATGAATATTTGTCTATTTTGTTGTAACCTTTCTCTGTCCAATAGTTTCAACTATTTACCTATTACAATAAGTTGACTGATGGATTCAACTGTTTACCTGTTAGAATATCCTGCCACTGGACCATTAGAAGGAGAGGACAGAGCATTTGTACAATCATCTGATCCCATTATGTCCTCATCAAAAATTCTATATCTGCAATACAAGTGTAAACAAACTATAAAACAAATGTCAGTAGTGACTGGATGAAATCTATCGGTGAGTGCTTTGGGGTTAGCTTGTATAAGTGTAAGAGGCTGTACACATAAAGACAAACTGTTGCAAGCAAGTAATGTACTAACCTGAAACCATACTCATCCTCAAATTCATTTTTCTCATCTTCACTGTCCTCATCTGGAGCAACAAACATGACTGTTAATGTTATATCTCCTTGCTGAAATAAAGACCATATGATATGTTGTTCATTTATTACAGAACAATCAAAGTAAACTAGATAACTTCATCTACAGTAAATTTAGCAACAATGTGACTGTGGATTCATGGGAAGAGTTGAGTACAATTATTAGGGTTTATCTCCCATTGGTTAAATGTTGAGCAAGAAAGTACTTAGGCAGGGACTTCTGGACAAAACTCTAGCACTACAACTACAAGTTAAAGCAACATTGTATACCTGCTGTGACAGTACTTTAACAGCCTCTGCATGTTTGGCACTCCTCAGGTCAATATCATTCACAGAGAGTATGGCATCCCCCACATACAACAGGCCACATCTGTCTGCAGGTTGGCCCTCGTGGATTTCAGATATTAATATAGGAACTCCATGCTCCTTGCCACCCTAAATAGTAAATTCAAGTGTACTTTATGTACATAGTACAATTCTAAAACCAGATATTAACCCTTTGAGCCCGCCAGGCCGGTAAACCGGCTTCAACATTAGGCATATATGTCCGAAAAGCCGGTTTTCCGGCCCGATGATCTAGCGTCATATTCCTAGCGGCCGGTATACCGTCTAATTAAATATAATTAGCGGAAGACTGACTAAAACTGCGCATATGTCTTTTGAGTGCGGGATTATGATTTCAAAAATTGATTTTTAGGAAAAGTGAAAGTGAAAGTGTTTACATTTCGTAGCAATGCCGCCGAAACGAAAAGCTGAGCCACAGCCGTCGACTTCATCACATAAAGTTGGTGCACAAGATGAAGCAAAAGACTGAAATATCAACAAAAGAAGTAGAATGACTGCATCTCCATCTCAGGCTATACAACTACTTATTGATTCTGATGAAGAAGATAATATTCCTGGTCTATATTGTGATGATAGTGACGTTGAATTTGAGACTGAACACAGTGACATTGAAATTGACAGTGACAATGAAACTGTTCAAGTACGTTCTGATGCATGTGGTGTCATGGACAAAGACTTGCCGAAACGAAAAAAAATGTTTACTGGTGCAAAACATGCGAAGTTTTTCTTCGCATCGGGTCCGGCAGTGAAAACTGTTTTGTAAGTTATCCCACAAAAGTGGACCTCTGGCGTTGAACTAGTATGGCCAGGTATCAATAATAACAAAACAATTACTAAATGTAAATTGGTTTCTTCTATGTTTTATCAAAACAATAATTATGTGTTCGTTTTATATACATTGTTCTGCTCAAAGATTGTAAAAAAAATAAAGATTTTCAGAATCTTGCTGCATTGTTGTTTGATCCTGATTCTGGATATCGAATTTGGCTTGATTGTCTCTAACGGTTCAAAAGTTATAGGCAAAGTTAGAAGCAGATAAGTGAAAATCGGTTTGGGCCTGGGAGCTCAGGAAATAGGAGAAATTAGGTCAGGGAGGCCAGGGCTCAAAGGGTTAATAAAAGACCTCCATGCTCCTTAACACCCTAAAAAGTAAATTTATGTTTACTTCATGTATATAGTAGACCTAACACCAGATATTAATATAGGAACTCCATGCTACTTGCCACCCTAATTAGTAAGTGTATATTTACTTTATGTATATAGTAGACCTGACACCAGATATTAATATAGGAACTCCATGCTACTTGCCGCCCTAAATAGTAAATTTATGTTTACTTCATGTATATAGTAGACCTGACACCAGATATTAATATAGGAACATGCTCCTTGCCACCATAAGCAATAAAATTTGCTTTATGTACATAGCTTCACTAATGATTGTGGTTTAAGAACTTCAAATCCCTGCAGGTGCCTTGTTAAACACTTTGACTACTCAATAGTACAACAATGTAACCCAACAAACCTAGCTATAGTACAATGATAGAACCTAACAAAACCAGCTCTCTAGTGATAGAACCAAAGAAAACTTACAGTAATGGACATGCCTAAACCTTCCTCTGGCTCCTTGTGTACAGTGACTGTCCTTGTATCACCTAGCCCATGTTTCTTTTTCAGTTCAAGAAAATTCTGGAAATAAAAAATAATAGATAGACAAAAACCAAATATATCAGGCAGAAGCTAATGATTTCAATATTCCCCAAAATACAAAGTTCAACACATGTATAATTAGTTTTAAACTCAAAGAGAACTTAGTAAAAAACAGGTAAGTAGTTATTATCAAGAATAGCTTACACTTATGGATCATTTTGTTTGAATATAGAGTAATTGGACATATGTATAAACATTCTTGTAGACCATACAACATTAAAAATTAATGGGACAAAAGCAGATGGAGTATAATATAAATGTAAGGCGCTATGTATCTACAGAATCTACCATTTCACTAAGAAATAAGCAAAGTTATTTACTTTTTAATAAATAATTCCTAATTTTTTAAAATTTATAATTATTCATGCCTACTAGAGTTACTATCTAAAAGTAATTAAATATGGGTCCCCTGACCAATGGCATATACAGTAATACAGTGTGTGCTAGCTTGATAAAACAGATGCTTACATGTCCAGGGGGGACTGGTAATTTTTTCTTCCTAAAATTACGCCCCCTACAGGCCCTGATGACAGTCTTGTGACGATGGAGATGTATTTCAGCCTCTAGTTGGTTCCACAGCTTATCGTGTTCAGCACCTCTCATATCTCGCCCCAGCAACTGAATCTGCTGGATCCTTCAAGAAAACAAACAACACATGGAATCAAGCTATTTAACTCATTGAATAACAAGGTACTAGTGCCATCATTGAACTTATTCATTTATGTAATGGTATTGTCCACAGGTCAATTCTTCACAACCAATTGTTCATACTGTGACGTATGCTATCTGCCTAAACTACTGAAAACTAAATCAATGACAACACTGTGTGTGGATTTCAGGCATCACTACATAATAACAACTCAAATTGTATAATAATCCCAACGAAATGGAAATAAAGACAATATAAAAAGACGACTTTTCTGGGAACCTAAAGAGAATTTTTAGCATGAAGCCATAACAGGTTAAACTGGAAAGAAAATGACAATGTATATTGTAAGATTTTGACATCCAGATTTAGAAAGGACATTATATCACCGGCCTAACTGAGACATGTTAGCAGCTATTTTTGACAATTAACAAAATAATGATACCTGTATCCACAGAAGGAAGCCAACAAACTTATGACGGCTACCAATACAGAACAAAATTTTCTCTGCAGTTGATTCCAACCCTTGCCCTCTACTATACTCTACTAATCTATATGTTAAAGGAGTTGAGCTGTTTAACCTACTTATCCAAAGCAGCAGAGTCTCCACAGAAACCTTTTCACATTCTAAACTAAATCCAATTCTCAGAAACCTAATTTTGGACTGGGATGGGAGGCAACTGCTAGGGAAATTTAAGCTGCTTATTTTCTTTTCAAACCAAAACAAATAAGCTTGTCTAATGGCAATGTAAAACAGACCATGCATAAAAAGTGAGTTAGCTGAAGCCTCACATTTAAATTACAATTTTTTCATGGCTAAACACACAGCTTTCCAAACACCACATCAAACTGTTTAAACACAATTCTAGGCCCCCACTAGTGTCAAATCTTTACACACTATACACCATTTAATACTTTATTTTTTAAAATCTTCATAACTTTTCATAAACTATTTTATGAATTAAAAAATGAAATGTAGATTTTTGAATGTCTATTTCTTGTAGCAATTAAACCCTCATTAGCTCTAGTTTCTAAATTTCAGACAGACAAACAACAGAACCAAGACAAGGAGAACATACCTGCCAGCCAGCTCCTTGTCCAGATACCTGGCAGCCAGGCGCGCTCCATACACCTCACTCTGAAGTGCCAGGATGTACAGCCTCAGCTCATGGTTGTCTTTGTTCAACATTTTTACTTCTGCCTCTAGCTTGGCCAGGGAATTTTCCTGCCTGTTGGACAACTCTGCTTCCTAGAGAAGACAATTGAAGCAGATGTGATGTTTGGTCTAAGAATTGTAGATCCCTGCATGTGCTGAGCTGGTGTGAACTTTCATTAAAAATAATTCCATCTAGTTAAGTGAAATAAATACAAATCTAGCTAGTCTAATACATAGGCCTTTTATTTCCTTACAAGGAGTTTAAAATAAAAATTCTTTTGCAACAAATATTATGATACTAATAAACATTTTAAAAGTTGCTCCTACATACACCAAACCAAAAAGTGAAATGTGTGAACTTGTCAGGCTAAATGCTAACACATACAAATAACTAGAAAAACCAACTATTGAAGGTTTACCTTAAATAATTCTTATAGACTTTTCACATGCAGTCAAAAGTTTTCAATTTTGTTTTAGGATACGTGTTTGTAAAATTGTAACAGTGACAGACAGAGAGGACCAAGGATTAAACTGCACCAGTGTTGGCAGACTACACATGCTAGTGAAGTCAATGAAGCTCAGTGGAGAATCCACAATATAAGTGGACACACCTACATTTCTAGGCCAAAACAATAAACAAAAAATTGGCACTGATCAAAACAGGAAACTCCAGTCAAGAGGTAGGCAGTTGTGAGAAAAAATACACTGGTACTTTAGACCAGTGATTGTGACTACTTCTGGTATAAGTTAATGTAGTGTTTCATTAGTTTCAATAATTAATATAGGTTAACGCACATAAATAATATACTTCTTATACTGCACGTCAAATGCAAATTTTTTTTGGTGTACCAACAATCTTTTGTTCCATTCTATCATAATTAGCATTAAAACTGGAAACTTTAAGCATTTTATCACCACTACATAAAGATTTTCATGAGTACTAGTTCACTGCATTATATTAAGAGTAATTTATTTGGACATAAACAGAAAAAGTTGCTATCAAATATCTACAGAAATGCATTGTTCCGACATATATCCTTGTCTTAAAGCTGCCGTAATTTTTTATTTTTTAAAATTTGTTTTGTAACAGGTAAGAGTGCAATTTTCCAAGGTCAAAACGTTTTTTAAAAGCTGTTGAAATTTTTAGTTAGCATAGAATGAACTTGTAAAATAGTTTCATATAAACCCAAATAATTAAACCATCCACAACTTATTCACTTACATTGCATTTTACAGTTGTGTTTACTTTTTGGCTTTAAAATTCTCTCAGCACAAAACACAGAGTGAATAATATTAATCATTAAGAAACAACTCGAGATCATTTGCTAGTTACCAATTTTTTCTTAATCTCCTGAGAGTCCACCTCTAATCCTCGCAGCTCATGCACCTCCAGCTGTGAAGAATGCAACTGTAACAATAAAGTGTGCAATTCCTTTTCCAATACTGATTTGGCTGCTTGAACTTCTATTATTTCTGATCTCAGGTCCACAAGCTGGGCCTGTGAAAAAAGTTAAAATCATCTGCTTTATAATCTCAAGACATTTTTCTAATCAATTCAAGCTTTTTCTTATCTATTGTTTTTGCAAGAGGGTTAATCTTTATTTGCCTTAGCCAAACTTCAAAGACAAGAGAATACCTAGTGTTACACATGAGTGAAAATGATGATGCATGGTGGCAGTTCTTTCTGCATCACCACTAGGTTTTAATTGATGCATTTTTCATCATCACATATTTTAAAATTTAAAAAAAGTAAGGGGACTTTCAGAAATAAGACCAAAAATTAACGTAATGTAATTTATACAAATTTAAATGAAATGCTCAGCCAACCTGAACCCTGGGGTTACAGTCATTTAACCATACTGCACCTTGCCATTTTCAAAATGCTTCAAATTTTAAAATTACGGTCTAAATAAAATTGATTAAGAACATTCCAGACTGGGAAAACTATTACTGTGAATTGGTTTGGATGTAAGAAGTTTATTTTAAAAATTGTGATTTTTTAAATTATTTATACTTTTTTTTTTAAAGAAAATGCTAGAATTAAAAAAAAAAATAGTTGGATATATTAGGCCTAACCTTTTAAATTTTTCTTATGCAGATTTCTATAGTAATACTTAGTTAAATTACATATTGTTAAAAATCAGAAGAATAAGTATATAAACCTAGAATTTTAACAGTATTGCTGAGATTTTGAGAAATTCAACATGCTTTAGCACTGTGGGTAATTAGAAGGTTACACACCACTTAAGCATGTTTTTCTCTACTAATTTCTCCAAAATCAAAAGCGTACAATATTTTTTCAAATGTAACTTACAGATTATTTTTGTGTTTCTATCAAGAATCAACCTTCCAACTTACAGTATCACCTTAAGTTTTATGTATATAGGCTATTTCTAATAGCCTATCTATGAAGTGGTTAATGATGAATCAATTGATAAAAATTCATTATATCAGATTATATATACATGTAAATGAAAGCAGGTCTGTGTGTGTATGCCCTTTATGCATTACTACACCATTCATATGATTGCCATGAAACTTTGGGATGTTATTGGGAATAATCCAGGGAAGGTTTAAGCGAAATAAAAAATGTTGAGGGAAAGGGTGTGATGCAATTTTTCTCCACAAACCGTATGTGAACAAAAAAGTCAATGTTGTTTGCTGTCCAGAGCGGCTATCTTAGCACTTGGTATCTGTTGATGATTGGACGTCCTGCATTGGGGGTCAGAGGTACTACTTGATTCAATGGTAAAACTGTACCAGGTGGTTGAGTGACCTAGGCTCACCCATTCCATTAGCAAAATGGTGCCTATGTTCGTTTCTCATAAAAGTTAATACTAAGTACTAAAATACACCAGAGTACAGAGAATAATACCTTGCACAAGTTTTTGGTTGGTAATTGGGAAAGTCATTGAAAAACATATTTATACTTTGACATTTAAAACATACTATCTTCTCTCTCTACACTGTAGATTCTACTTTTATTATATAGGCCTAGACCTAATAATTACCTAAACATTACCGAAAATATTTAACGAAGTGTCTGTTCCCAGTCGACTGAGAACAGCCGTATTAGGACTATTATAGGTATCTAAATTTTATTTTCCCCGTAATTCATGAAAGGGTTACTTATATTAATTTTTTACGTTTGCTGGCATATCTGAAGAAAATAAAACCTGTCCCTTTAGATTGCGGGCATAAAAAAAAAAACAACTTGGGAAAATTGTGATGGAAACTGAATAATAACTGATTAAAACGGACATGCTATTTCACCTAATACTTGTTCTATGTGAATTTAAAATGGTAATTGGCAGTTGAATAGCAATGTGAACTACCAACTAAATAAGTAATGTTCCCTTTCAAACCTGATGGTCTACAAGGCAAGTGAAGTAGAGTTCACTTGTTTCTGTGACCTTGGCATACGAAGGGATAGTGTGGTCAGCACTATGCCCAGCCGCCTTTACTAACCCTAACATGAGTTAGGTACCCACTCCGTCATAATTAATAATAATATTATTTATTAAACAAATTACTAGATCTATTAGTCTAGTATAGATTTAGAGTGCATTAATAGATTATCTACTACCTACGTAGCTGATATTAACCTAAAGCCTAAACTAAACTTAAACCATAATAATGTTTTGATGAAAATATTACACAATGAAAATAGCACTGCTCTCTTTTTCTATGCTTCACTCCCCAGTCACAATAATATATTCTTTTGTTATTGTAAGATATTATTCCCAATCGTATTTAGCATGAAATTACAGGCGGCTGCCATATTGGGGCTATTCCCAACCGGATGGGAAAAGTCTTGGCCTATGTTCCCTCTAAGCTGCGCTGTTGCGCGGCCGTGCAGTAGTTTTTAACTGCTGCGCAGTCATTTTGTACAATATATATCCTTGTATAAGACTTTTAGAACACCGCGCACACAAAATACATGTTGCACACGATCTTTTTCCCCTTAGAGAGAACATCGGTCTTGGCCAATATTAAATACATAGAGGCCTATCAGTAAATAGGTAGTCCTACACAATAGGCTAGATGTTGTTGAAATTGAAATAGTAAATTGGTAGCCTAATAAGTTCTGAGAAGTCGATTACATTTCTGTGGAATGTAAATAAACTAGGCGGAACTAGGTCATGTTGATGTAGTTTTAGAAATGCAACCTGAGTTTCTTCCAGCCATCTCTTTTTTCTACCCCCCCCCCCAATTAAAAGAAATGAAATTTATATAGAAAATATATACTTTTAACAGTGTCCGCCCCCCCCCCCCCCCCCCGAAAATTTCAAGTGCCCCCGGAGAAAAAAGTCTGGAAGAAACACTGAATGCAGCCATTTCTAGATTTAATGCATAAATCACATCTAATGACTTGCATGTTCTTTTTATGATTTTACATTTTTGCCATTTCACAGAATTTTACACAATTACCAGTTGACCAGGTCGATTTCAACAATACAATCATAGAGCACTAATCCTAATGTTTAAGAATCTATTCTAGTTTAGTTTAGGCCTACATGATTTTTTTTCTCTAGATCTAGTTTTATATCTACTCTAACTGGACCTTGATCTAACTCTGTTTTTAAAAGTGTGCATATCATACATAATTCATAATTAATAAAATAATAGGCCTAATCATCATTTCTTCTCAATTAAATTCTAGACTAGTGTCCTACTGCCTACTAGTAAAAAATCACGTTGTATTTGTAAGTAAAAGTAAGTTGTAGGCCCTAACTAATACTATTAAAATTAATTAAATTAATATATCTAGGCCAAATCTATGTTCTAGTTATTAGGCCTATATGACACCTAATCACAAAATGTTAAAGCTTACAATACAAACCACACAGTACTTCATTGGACAATAGCCTCAACTAGATCTAGATCTAGAGTTGATCAGGCTCTTAGTCTTAAACAACACCCCCCCCCCCCCCCCCCCTGAAAGACTGAGCTGGAATCAGCTGGTTGGACCTTGATTCTACCTCTAACTTTGCATTTCATTGCACTTATAAACAATTTGAGCATAAATCTAGATCTATGTAGTTATTCTATGTAAGCACAAAATTTTATAGCGTACAAATACAAACCGCACACTACTTGACTGGACAGAAACTGAAAGACTGAGCTGGAATCAGCTGGCTGGACCTACCTCTAACTTTGCATTGCACTGAAAAACCGTTTGAGCCTTATGACTAAGCTGTGCAAAAGCTGCACTTAGTGCTGTCATTTTTTGCCTTCCTTCAAATGTAATTTCACTTTGATCAGGATCTATTTCTCCAAGCAATAAATCTAAATCTACAAAACCCTTGTCAAATTCTTTTTCCAAAATTTCCAGCCACCGAAATGACAGCGTGGCAGCCATTATGTTATGTGTAGTGTTAGATCTAGTATCTATTTGTTTTCTTCTGACAAACAAAGCTATGAAATATCTAGTTTGGCACTTCCTATCTAAAATTAAGGAAGAAAGAAAGCGCAGTGTGTAGACCTAAATCTTAGCACTAGCAGAAGCAAAACATATTTTTCATTATTTTCATGTTATTTTATTTTTGTTGTGGGTTAGTTGGCTTTGATAGACTAGCGCCAGGTTAAGTTCCATATTTTGTAAAACAGGGCAAGGTTTTTTAAAATTAGGGCCGATTGCCGCGGTAGTTAGATTATTATACAGATACAAAAGCGATAATCTAGCGATAATGTAGTCATGTGTGGCGGTTAAGCCAACTTCCTCCTCCTAAACAATATCTCCTCTCAAGCAGACCCACCGGAGCAATGTGAGACTTCAAAGGGGAACCTTGGGGCTTTTGTGGGGTTTAACAAACCTTTAACGAGCAGCCTTGGCGTCCCAGACCGTGATGTCATGCGGTGCGGTAACTGGTGCTTCTCCCAACCACTGCCCCTCCCTTTCCCATACCCACTCCTTTACCTTAAACAACCTTAAGAACTTACAATAAATGATCGTGCTCAGGTTTTTTTTTTCTTTTTTATAAAACAGCTTGAGTTGTCTTTGTCGGCTAATACAAATCATAGGCGTATAGCTGGTAATGGGGAGGGGGGGGGGCCTTCCCATTTCAGGGTCATTTTCTGACAATTGCGCCTTTTGAAATTTATGCAACTTAAAAATAAAAAGGCGTTTAAAAGTTACCATTGCAAAAAATAGAAATAATCTATGATTTAAAAAAAAAAAGCTAAGTGCTTATGTCTGACATAATGGATTTAGATCTAATATTAGCCATCTGTTTGAGGTCTTGTAATTGTAAGTGACGAAAACCGTAATTATCTTGTAATCGATTTGTTAAACAAGTTAATAAAAAGTCTAGTGACAATTTAAGCGCAATTTCCTTATGTTATCAGGTGTTGATTTGTGGCTTAATACCACACGGCTCTTAACGCCCTCCTTTACCCTATGCATTTATATTGTGTTATTGATTGTTTGTGAGGTAATTTTAATAGTATAATTAAAACCTTTTTCCCACACTCCCAAAGTTCATCCCATTCAGCCATTGCGGCTCGCGCAGTTCGCTGCTAAGCCAGCCAGGTCACATGATTTACCCTCCTCCTCCTCCTCCTTCGCCTGCAGCTCGCGCAGTTCGCTGCTAAGCCAGCCAGGTCACATGATTTACACTCCTCCTCCTCCTTCGACTTCCACTGCCCTCTTTGCTATATAGTACTGTAATGTACTATGTATAATGTAATTTTAAAATGTTTCAAGTCGCTAAGTGGTCTAGTTGCCGAGATAAGTGCCAAAAACTGCATTTTTCCGAGGTTTTTTGGCTTTTACAGGAAGGAATTCCGGGATTTTTTTTTGGCCCACAATCATCCTCGGAACTTGCTTAACATATTTGCTTTTGGAACTAGTCCTCGATATTGCTTCGCTGAGGAGGAGATACGACTTAAAGCTGCGGACATTCCCAGAAATGACGAGTTAATAATCGCAATTCTCCAGAATGGAAATTGCGCTAAAAAAGTAGAAATATAAACACATGAATAAAAAAAACAAGTTAATAAACAGTCTAGTGACAATTTAAGCACAATTTCCTTGTTATCTAAAAATAGCGCTGCCAAAAACTGCATTTTTTTTCTAGGTTTTTTGGCTTTTCCGGGAAATCCAGGAAGGTATTCCGGGAATTTTTTTGGCCCACAATCATCCTCTAAAAAAAAAAAAAAAAATTCCCGGAATACCTTCCTGGATTACCCGGAAAAGCCAAAAAACCTAGAAAAAAAATGCAGTTTTTGGCAGCGCTATTTTTTTTTTTGGACAGATCCCAACCGATTGGGAAAGGGGCCTCCTTGTGAAGTTGCCTAAGAACGGTGACTTATCTCAGTGTGGAAAATGGAGGGGCATTACCTTGTTGTCCATACCAAGTAAAGTCCTTACCAGAGTTATTTTGGACAGAATGAAAGAGGCGGTTGACCTTAAGCTAAGAGAGGAACAAGCAGGATTCAGGAAGGAAAGATCTTGTACAGATCAGATAGCCACTCTTAGAATTATTGTAGAACAGACGATAGAACGGCAAGCCCCGCTTTACATCTGCTTGGTTGACTTTGAGAAGGCCTTTGATAGTGTGGATAGGCAAACAATATGGAATCTGTTGAGACACTATGGTGTACCTGCTAAGTTGGTGGAAATAATCCAGCAACTTTACAATGGATTTTCATGCCAAGTTAGCCATGCAGGGAAACTGTCTAAAGAGTTCCAGGTCAACACAGGTGTGAGACAAGGATGTCTGCTGTCGCCCCTCCTCTTCTTGGTAGTTGTCGACTGGGTGACACGCACAGCCTATGCCAGTTCTGGAAAAGGTATTCAGTGGACACTCACGGGGAAACTAGAAGATCTGGAGTTTGCAGATGATCTTGCCTTACTCTCGCACAGGCTACAGGACATGCAAGAAAAAGTTGATGCATTAGGAGCCATCTCGCAGCGCGTAGGTCTGAAGATCAACAAAGAAAAGACGGAAATGATGAGAATTAACAATAAACAGGAGGCTCCAGTGTCAATAGACGGAAGACAGGTAAATGATGTGCAAGAGTTTGTCTACCTTGGCAGCAAGATCAGCAAAACGGGAGGCACAGAGGAGGACATACGCGCTAGAGTTAATAAAGCCCGCTGCGCTTTCACAGTCCTGCGACCCATATGGAAAAGTTCGGCCATCTCCATTACCACAAAAATTAGGATATTTAACTCTAATGTCAAGGCAGTTCTGCTGTATGGAGCAGAGACATGGAGAGTCTTCAAGGCAAGCACAGCAAAGATACAGACCTTCATGAATAGATGCCTTAGACAGATACTGAAACTGAGATGGCAGGACAAAGTGCCGAACTTGGAACTATGGAGGAAAGCTAGGCAGGAGCCTATAGGTGTGCAAATAAGAAGGAGGAAGTGGCGCTGGGTGGGTCACACACTGCGAAAGGCTCACACAAATGTTACACGCCAAGCGCTTGAGTGGAACCCCCAGGGAAAGCGGAAGAGAGGGCGCCCAAGACAGACCTGGAGGCGGAGTCTTCTTGAAGAACTGAAGCCAATAGGGATGTCTTGGGAGATGTCAAAATTAATAGCCGAGGATAGGAAGAAATGGAAGGAAATGGTGGAGGCCCTATGCTCCATAAGGAGCAAAGAGGACTAAGTAAGTAACAATCATCCTCTGAACATGCTTAACATATTTGCTTTTGGAACTAGTCCTCGATATTGCTTCGTTGAGGAGAAGATACGACTTAAAGCTGCTGACACACATCCATCCTTGACGAGTTAATAATCGCAATTGTCCGTATGGAATAGTGCGCAATATTATTAGTACTTTAAAAATTTACATTAGTTTTTTGAGAAATCGGAAGTAGCGTAAATTACTACTTCCGGTCAACGGAGATTACTCAAAATTTAACAGAAGGTAGAAAATTAGATCTTTTACTCACATGTGAAATTTCATTTATCTATCTAAAATAGTACTGAATTTATAGGCTTTTGAAAAATTCAAAGTAGAAAAAGTACCACTTCCGGTTATCGGAAATAGCTCAAAAGTTGATACGGATCTAAGATTTTGATAAAATACTTATATATGAAATTTCATCCTGAGCTGTAACGGTACTCAAGTAATCGTATTTACACACACAGACAGAATTACAAAGCCCAGTTTTTCAGACTGGATTACGCATAAAACCTCTTAATTTTGATAAATCTGGATTGATAATTTTTGCCCGATTAAAATAAGTCCTCTATACTTCGGATGTGATGAAGGACTGAGGTGTAATACGGTGAAAATTGTTAAAATTTCAAGTGATTTTTGTGCACGATTACAATACTTTCTCTATACTTCGTATATACGAGAAAGTAAAGTAAAAAGATAAATTATACATCAATAATAATCATAATAATAAATTGTATCTTCTGTTTTAAAAATTTAATCATTTTCAGCTACATTAATTAATACATTTTGTTGCTCACTTCAATTATCATAATTTTGATTAACTTAATGGGTTATATAATTATTTATACAAAATTTAGAATTACATAAAATGGAATATTCAATATAGAAAAATTTTGAGTAAATATTACTTCAATGATTCAAATTATAATTGTACATTGTTGGTGTCTATTAGTGGTTAGCATTAATTATTGTATGGGTAATGTAAAGGGTAAGAATTTAGGCATCATATTTCCAAAAAACCAAAACAAAGCTAACTATAACACCTAGTACAAGATGATAAATGTGCTATGGAGACTCATGACATCCATTCTTTCCATGAAGTGTTTCTTCCTTTGTGTGAATATTTAAAAAATATCATGTTAATTATCATTTTAATTAACTTTCTTAACATTGTTTGAATGTCACGTTTACAATATACACGCACACAATTTAAAAACATTAGTTACAAATAATACATTCATTTTACTTATCTTCAAAATGAAATGTCTAGATAACATATTAATCATTAGCAATACTTTGTATGACAAATAATACTATGAAGAGTATTATATCCTGTACAGTGTTTCTTCCAGAGTTTTTTTTTCCAGGGAAGGGGGTAGAGATGCCTGGAAGAAACTCTGATCCTGTATGACAAACATTAATGGTGTGTATTTAGCCTCCACAATGTGGTATTAGTACAAAAGCAATAGTTTTATATACAGATAATTAAAGACCCTTGTGAAAGAGAATTTAATGACCAACAACACATTCAGGTGGCTTAAGTCCTGAGTGAAATTTTGTGTGTGTAGATAAACTAGACTTACGAGCAAACTTTTTATGACAATTGTCACATTCATATGGTCTCTCTGGTAAATGAATATTTTTATGCTCTGATAAATCACCTTTACGATTAAATTTTTTATGAAACACATCACGTTCATATAATCTATCTGGTAAATGAATCATTTTATGTTCTGATAAATGTCTTTTATGATTGAATTTTTTATGACACACATCACATCAGTGGCGGAACTAGAAAAAATGGGCCACCCCGCAAATTTTTTTTTGGCCCCCCCCCCCCCATATATATATATATATATATATATATATATATATATATATATATATATATATATATATATATATATATATATATAAACACAATACGAACACAGGATACTCCTTTCTGGCCTGATCAGGTTTTGGAAAAAAAATTCAATTAAATTTAAATCTAACCACATGTTATGTGTATGAGTGCATTGGTCTGTTTCGAAAATCTCTTTTTTCATAAATGTTTAATACTTCTAATCACTAAGTCGGTCAAAAGTATATCAATCATGAAGCTTTGTATAAGTAATGGTGTCTCGTGTTATGTTTTTTTTTTTGTATTTATATTATTAATTTTAACTACGTTTCATTTTTGTATTATAACCTTTAGTACTTTTTTTTTTTTAAAATAATAAGACCAGTAATTGCTGTTTAATTTGATTATTACAAATCTATTAAAAAGAGCTTTCGAGCAACCCTATTTGACTATTTGAAAAAGAGAAATAATTTATGGAAGTGGTTTGAGCGTTTGCCTATCTTTCACACTACAGCTAATGATAATGTGTATATTTAAAAAAAAATTTTTTTACGCAACAGCACGTCTTAGCTACTATATAACATCACTACAGTATTAGATCTGTCATCTGTTTGTTATTTACAAAACCACTATCAAGGTGCCAATGACAATTCTAATATATATATATATATATATATATATATATATATATATATATATATATATATATATATATATATATATATATATATATACATATATATATACATATATATAACACGCTATCATTCGTGTATTTATTTGAGACGTTTGCCTTGTTTTCTAGAACAGTGGTTATTAAACGTAAACAATGTCGGCACTTTATTTCTTGGATATTAGTTGTTGAAGCGTTAGTTTGTCTACACTACCACCGATACGAGCCAGCTTAGTTGAGGCGCTATCTATTCGCTTCTTGTAAGGCTAAGAGCGGGAGGGGAGGTCTGAGAAAGGGACTTAAAAGGTGACGATGTGCTTTTATCCATCAGTACCAAATTTGGGATGGTCTCAATAAGCCGTCTTAATATCTAGCGGCCTCTCGCGCAATTGATGTTTTTTCAAAAGAATTTTGCCAACAACAGTGTGTATTTGATTGTAGGAAAAAGAATATACAAGAGCATGGGATGGTGTCTATAGAATAAAGATACTCCAACCGCAGCTACAGTATTCTTTTTTCAAAAAAATCATCAAGTCAAAAATGCAAGAAAATTAATTTTAACTATAAAAAAAATGATTATGGGCGGCTGTGGGCCCCTAAACGGCGTGCCCCCCCCCCCGCATTGCGGGGTCTGGCGGCACTGTAGTTCCGCCCCTGCATCACATTCATATGGTCTTTCTGGTAAATGAATTTTTTTATGTGTAGATTAACTTTATGATTAAATTTTTTGTGACACACATCACATTCATATAATCTATCTCAACTATCTGGTAAATGAATCATTTTATGTTCTGATAAACGTCTTTTATAATTAAATTTTTTGTGACACACATCACATTCATATGGTCTCTCTGGTAAATGAATATTTTTATGATCTGATAGATTACCCTTTTGACTAAATTTTTTGTGACACACATCACATTCATATTATCTATCTGGTAAATGAATCATTTTATGTTGTGATAACTGTCTTTTATCCTTAAATTTTTTGTGACACACATCACATTCAAATTCATATGGTCTCTCAGGTAAATGAATATTTTTATGTTTAGATAATCTAGATTTAAGGGCGAAACTTTTATGACAAACATCACATTCATGTGGCTTGAGACTTGAATGAATAGTTATTTTATGTTCTGATAAATGATATTTCTGACTAAAATTTTTATGGCACACATCACATTCATATGGTCTTTCTCCTAAATGTTTAGTTATTTTATGTTTTGATAAATGACCTTTCTGACTAAATTTTTTATGGCACACATCACATTCATATGGTCTCTCTGGTAAATGAATATTTTTATGTAGGGATAAGCTAGATTTAAGGGCAAAACTTTTATGACAAACATCACATTCATGTGGCTTGAGACTTGAATGAATATGTATTTTATGTTTAGATAAATCACCTTTAAGACTAAATTTTTTATGACACACATCACATTCATGTGGTCTATCTGGTAAATGAATTTTTTTATAGTCTGATAGATTACATTTATGACTAAATTTTTTATGACACACATCACATTCATATGGTCTCTCTGGTAAATGAATATTTTTATGTATAGATAAATTACTTTTACAACTAAAATTTTTATGACACACATCACATTCATATGGTCTCTCTGGTAAATGAATATTTTTATGTGTAGATAACTGACTTTTAACACTAAATTTTTTATGACACACATCACATTCATATGGTCTCTCTGGTAAATGAATATTTTTATGTTGTGATAGAATATATTTTTGACTAAATTTTTTGTGACACACATCACATTCATATAATCTATCTGGTAAATGAATCATTTTATGTTCTGATAAATGTCTTTTATGATTAAATTTTTTGCGACACACATCACATTCATATGGTCTCTCTGGTAAATGAATATTTTTATGTTTAGATAAATTACCTTCATGACTAAATTTTTTGTGACACACATCACATTTATATGGTCTCTCTGGTAAATGAATTTTTTTATGTTGTGATAGACTACATTTTTGACTAAATTTTTTGTGACACACATCACATTCATATGGTCTCTCTGGTAAATGAATATTTTTATGTTCTGATAGATGACCCTTTTGACTAAATTTTTTGTGACACACATCACATTCATATGGTCTTTCTCCTAAATGTATCTTTATATGTTTTGCTAAATGATTTTTAATATGATATTTCTTATTACACACAGCACATTCATATGGCTTATTAATTCCAGAATGAATATTTGTGTGTGTGGATAAACTAGACTTAGTGGTGAACTTTTTAGACAAACTAGACTTATTGTATACCTGTTGTAGGTTTATTTTGTTAATCTGTTCACCCTGACTGATCATAACAACTTCTTGCTGATGAAAATCATGACCATATGGATTCACCCTTGTGTGAATGTTTATGTGTTGTTTAACATGATCAAAATGGAAAAATCTTTGACAACACATATCACACTTGTATGTCTTCAGTCCCTTATCATTGATCTGATATTCTGTTGGGAGATTATCATTCAATTTTGTATGCAATAACTTGAGTTGTTTTAATTCATTTTGAAGATCTGATTTTAAAACTGCTAAATTTTCTTTAAAATCAGTTGAATCTGGTGGGGAAGAAAGTTGTTGCTGTGCTTTGAAACCATTTCGTTGTTCATTCTCCAAAGATGAAATTGTTAATATCTCAGGTTTTATATCTTCAAAAATTGAAAATGCTGTTGATATATTTGGTTTCATGTCTTCAGAAGATGAAAATGATGTTGGGTTATCTTGTTTCATCTCTTCTAAATTAAACAAAGGCTTTGTTTTATCAAGATTTTTATATTCTAAAGCTAAAAATGGCATTGTTTCCTCCAAGTATTTGTCTTTAACAGTTGAAAATTGTGTTGATACATTTTGCTTTATATCTTCAGAATTTGAAAAGAGTTTTGATATATTTGTTTGTACTCCTTCTGAACTTGAAATAGCTGATGTTTCATCTGATTTCATGTCCATAAATGTTATGATTTCGTCACTCAATTCCTGTTTAACCATAACTGAACTCTCCCAAACTATACCATTAGTGTCCTTTGTGTTTTCCATAGCTTTAGATTGATGAATTATTGCAGAAAAAACTGAAATAAAAATAATGTTGATTAGAAAACCAAATTAAAATTTATTTTTGAAAATATATTGATTGCATTTAAAAAATGTTTAAATATTTATGTCTTAGCTTTACTATATTATTATAACACCATAGAATTTTTTAAGTCATAAAAAAAGATCAAAAGGGCCTTATTGAGCTATGATAACATCTGTTTTAATAACTGAAGTGTCTTTTATCAATCAGAAGTAATATGAATAGATAGATTAATAGTTAAAAACTGTTCACGCCATAGCACACCATGGTTGGGTGGCACAGTGCACATCTGTTAACGAATATCCCCAGAGTTTGAATCTCAGTAGGGAACCATATATTCATGTTTTCTTGGTCTTTTGCCTTTCTTAATGAAAGGGCGACTCCTTATTTTTATAAGCCATATTGTTTTTCTCTATATAATTAGTTACAGTAAAAATCTCATTTAAAAAAAAAAGCTCACCTTCAAACTAAAAGAAGCCTGCAAAATTATTAATGCAAATTAATCTAATATTAATTATTAATAGGCCTATTATTTTATCATTTTTTAAATTAATAGTCCTTGATAAGATTTTCGAGAAGGGCTAGGAGTCACTAAATAAGCATTAATATTAATTATTAATCAATAATATTACTATTAGGCTAATATATGTATATTTTGAATATTTTCGGATCTTATATATAAATATAAGAAACGAGCCGCTCCGCTGCGTATCATATGCCGTTATTTAGTTGTTTTATTTTCTACTTTTCAGTAATTCATAATTTATGAATTCGACAGTACCAATGCTGCCACTGAATATATTTGCTTTGAAACACTACCAGTAGCACGTTAAGGACGATACCCCCCCCCCCGTGAAAGCAGCCTCCTCTAAGTTACCTCCCCTAAGTTTAATATCGTTTCAAACTAAATTATCTGCCCCTAATAGCCGTCCCTTAACCCGGCTCTACGATTGTAAACATTTAGCGTGAACCACAGCTCACCAGAACATAGAGGGGTGGGGGTGGTAGGGAGCGCGCTTACAGCTTGTTTTCTAGGGTTTCCGAGAAGAGAATTATATATATAGATAGATTGTAGATCTATTAGACCTACTAATTTCTATTACCTACCTAAAAACCTACATCTACATATTTAAAGTAAGGTATCAAATAGTAACTATCCATTTTAGCTTTAGATATATAAAAAATTATTTTAAAATCTGAGGTGGATTGTAATGACTGACGAGAAGCCGCGTTGGTTGTTAACAGCCTTTATTATGTACAGACGCCATGATGGAAAAGAGAGAGAGAGAAATGGCGAGAGAGAACTATTTATAGATAACAACATGTAAGGGACATCACTCAAGATAACAATATAAATATAATACTAATACAGAGAGTGAGTTCCCTTGACCTCACAATTAACTCAATCTATTACATCCCTTTACCCTTAGAACACAATAACACATCTCTCAATAGAACAATTGATAGTATCCTAAAATCACCAATTATATTGTAACATGAACACTATGGTAGATTACATCCTTACAAACAATGCACAATATGCTACAACATAATCAAAATACAAAACAATAATGTCAAAGTCCTTTTGACCTTTAGAATCATAGGTCTAACTTATTTGGGACTTTGATTGTCCTGCTTGACCTTCTCAGTGGCTTTTGATTTGGTGACTCAAGATTCTGACCATCTGGATTCTCTATCTCAGGAGGTCTAGGATTTAAATCATTAACTCCAGAATTTACATTTTCTGACTCTAGACAACTTGGTTCACTCATATCAACAGAACTTGGTTGTGGAACAAACTGAGTTGGTGTGAACTGATCAGATTTGGTGGGATTGACAGATTCACACTTATTATCTGCACAAGTTATTTTTAACTTTATAAGACACAGGTCCTGTACATTGAACAATTTGACCTGGTATCCATTTTTCCTTTCTCCTATAATTTCTTAGATACACATTATCATTAACACCAAATTCTCTTTCAATGCATGTTTGTCATGATCTAATGGAACTATTTTTGAATTGGCATCTGGAAGTATTATGCTGTAATTCAGATCCTTGACTGACATAGATTTCTTTGATTGATCACATTCCTTCTTACTTAAAACATTTGAAATTGCCATATCACCATAATCATTTATTAAGTTACAAATACTTTGTTTAGGCAACTCTGACTGATAATGGACTGCATCTTCTCCATCTTTTATATTATCTTCACAAAGGTTTTTATTTCTTATTTAATATGGCCTTAAGTCATCATTCACAGACTCTTCAGGCCAACCATTCTTACAGTACTCATATACTTTTATTAAGCACTCATCTTTTTGTGTTTCTCTTTTAATATCATTCACATCTATATTGGAGTTATCCATGATAGTGAAGAGAACAAATACATCTTCTGGTACATAGCTAAGGCTTTGGTTTTTTAAAGGTAATCTACTAAGGCTATCTGCACTATTCTCAGATCCAGGTTTGTATTTCAATTCATAATTGTATGCAGTTAGTGTGATAGCCCATCTTTGAATTCCTGGTGAGGCATGCTCAGGTAGGGTTTTGTTTTCTCCAAATAAACCTAGCAATGGTTTATGATCTGTAAAGATGGTGAACTTCCTACCAAACAGAAACTTATGAAATTTCTTAACACCAAAAATGATGCCTAAGCCTTCCCTATCTAACTGAGAATAATTTTTCTCAGCCTGGTTCAAAGATCTACTGGCAAAAGCAATGGGTCTGTCACCCTTCTCATCCATGTGGGACAAGACTGCTCCTACACCATCTGGTGAAGCATCACATGTTACTATAAGTCTTTTCCCTGGGTCATAGTGAGTTAGTAAGGTGTCAGCAGACAAAGCCTCTTTTGCTGTATTAAAAGCAGCTTCTTGTTGTTTACCCCAGTGCCAAGTTGCATTTTTCTGTAGCAGCTTGTACAGTGGTGATAGTTTACCAGACAGATTCCCTATGAACTTTGCATAGTAATTTATCAAGCCCAAAAAAGCTCTTAGTTGTTGAGTATTTTCAGGTTTGGGTGCTTCCTTAATGGCTTTTGTTTTCTCAGGTTGAGGTCTGATGCCTTGCTTGCTTAATATATAACCAAGAAAACTAATTTCTGTCAGCATGAATTGACATTTATCTTTGTTTATCTTTAAACCTTTTTCACCAACAATTTTCAAGACTTTATCAAGTGTTTTAAGATGTTCAGTGTCATTCTTACCAGTTATGTACACATTGTCAAAGTACACACAAACATTTGGAATATCCTTAAAAATACTGTCCATGACAGCCTGGAAAATTCCAGGGCTGGATGATATGCCAAAACATAGTCTTTCATATTGGTAGAGTCCTTTATGTGTGTTTATTGTCGTATAGACTTTTGAATCTGGATGCAGTTCTAGTTGAGTGTAAGCATGACTAAAGTCTAATTCAGTGAATTTGTCTCCTCCTGCCAAATTCAAAGAGATTTCCTCAATGTTAGGAATAAGGTACCTATTTAGCTCTATTTGCTTATTCAGTGTAGTTTTATAATCTCCACAAATTCTTATAGAACCATCCTTCTTTAACACTGGCACAATGGGTGTCGCCCAATCGGAATAGTCTACCTTCTTTATAATGCCATTAGATTCCAATCTACTTAGCTCATTTTCAATTTTATTCCTCATTGCATAAGGTGGAACTCTAGCTTTGCAGTATCTTGGATTTGTATCTTTAATGCTTAACTTCACTGTTCTATCATTTAGTAAACCTGAATTACCAAAAACACATTTATTTTCAGATATAACTTTATCTAGTGAAGTAAGACTAGATTCTTTTCCATTGTTCAATGAACAAATACTCTCCCAATTTAACTTAAGATTACTTAACCAGTTCCTACCTAGTAATGGCGGTCCATTTCCTTCAACCACAAGAAGAGGAAGTTTAACACTTTGACCATTATAACTTACATGAACCATACACTCTCCTATTACCGGAACATTGTCACCAGTGTATGTTGTTAGACACTTGTGACACGGCTGTAGAGACACTGATCCTCCTGTGACAGCGTCAAAATCTTTCTTTGTTATGACTGTTAGAGATGCTCCAGTGTCAAGTTGGAAGCTGATGCTCTTACCGTTGATATTAACTGGTACATTGATGGGAGCATGACTTATTGATTTCACAGAGAATAGGTTGAAATCCGGCTGCAAATCAATTTGAGCATTTTCACAGGTAGAGTGGTTCATTGGTTGGGTTAGGTAGTCTTGGTGAGAGTTAACATAGTGCTGCCTTTGGTTGCGGTACTGTCTTGACTGGCTAGATTTAGCAACAGACGAAGACTTTGCAAAGCAGGCCTTGGCAATGTGACCTTGCTTACTGCACTTATAACAAGTTGCAGACTTGAACTTGCACCGATGAGATGCATGGGGACCTTTGCATCGATGACATTTTTGATAATCATTACTAGATTTAGATCTAGGATTTGAACGAGCAGGCTGTTTAGCATAAGTTGGAATGCTCTGTTGGGGTTGGTGTTTGTTGACTAACCTGCTGTTTACTGCATGGATCCCTGAAGGCGTAAGAGATTTCGCCGCATCTGATGACTGCTGGATTGAAGTTGCAAGTTGTATTGCTTTTTCTAATGTTAGATCTGACTCGAGCAGCAACTTTCTTTGAATATCAGGGCTGTTTACACCTGTCACAAACTTTTCACATAATCTGTCAGACAGCGTGTCTCCGAATTCACAAAATTCACTTAAATGACGTAAGGCAGCAACATATTCTGATATTGACTCGTTTGGTTGACGAGTCCTACTGTCAAATCTAGCTCTACATAGAAACTTTGATGGGGTAGGCGCATGGTGGTCTGTTAGCAATTTGCTCAGCTCGTTAAAGCTCTTGGTAGTTAGACTAGCTGGTGCGCATAAGTCCTTTAGTAGCCTAAATTGTTGAGGCCCTATGACTGTTAACAAAACAGCTCTCTTTTTGGCTTCTATCGTCACGTCGTTAGCTTCTAGGTAAAAGCTTAACCTCTCTAGGTAATCTTGAATGATTTCATCATTCGCATCAAATTCTTTTATTTGGCCATACAGCGCCATAATTCTAGAAATAATTAGCTAATAAGCTCTAGCAAACCTCTTTTTTGCGTAAGTAGGTGCTCTTTCTAGTAGATGTTTATCCTTCGTCGCCAAATGAAGTGGATTGTAATGACTGACGAGAAGCCGCGTTGGTTGTTAACAGCCTTTATTATGTACAGACGCCATGATGCAAAGAGGAGAGGGCGAAGGAAGTGGCCAGAGACCACTATATATAGATAACAACATGTAAGGGACATCACTCAAGATAACAATATAAATATAATACCAATACAATTATCTCAATCTATTACAAAATCAGCTTAAGTCAAAGCTAGTAAATGTGACAGAAACCCTGTCATAGTCCCATAACTTCATAAGCCAATGGCATGATTATAGATACCAGTGTCCGATAATGGAATCATCTTTAAAAAAGGGGTGTTGGGTTGTTAGTAGTATAGTAATCTAACACCCCCTTTTTAAAGAAGATTCCATTATCGGACACCGGTGTAAACATTTGATCGTTACGAAAGCTGGTTCAGATGGCCGCAGGGAAAAAAAAAGAGGGGAAAAAAATATCGCAAGTAGCACGTCACTAAAACATGAATATATCTCAAATTCAATGCATAGGAATATAAAATATTATAAAATGATTGATACATATTTATTAAGAGTAGAAAGGCAGAGGAATAATATAGTACTTTGGGTTTGTTTCTGTGTTAAACGGTTACAAAATAGCGCCCAATCTATAGGCCCTACTAGATCTAGATCTAGAGTATATTCAGTGATATTCACATATTGTGAAAAGAAAAACACTGAAGTACTGAAGTGAAACAGGTTGAGGTTGACTCCTTACATTTAATAGATCTAAAATCTAATTATTTCACATTTTTATTTTTAGTAGGAATTATGTTTTGAGATTTACACAAATAGTTCATTTATGTACCTGTTTTTAAACAATTTAATTAAAACTTTTCAACATGAAGACTAGCGATGTTTTCATCAGATCCAACCATGCTCATTTGCTATAGCAGCCATCTTGTTTCATTTATTTTGTAGGCCTAACCTATTATTAGCGGGAGCAGGGGAAGCCACTCTTATTTTACAAATGGCTGCTGTTTCTTCCAGGCTGTTTCCCCCCCGAACAAAGTTTACCGCCCCCCCCCCCCCCCGAAAATTTCAAGTGCCCCCCCCCCCCCCCGGAGAAACAACTCTGGAAGAAACACTGTTTATATATCAAATCTGCTCGCAAACACTGCTGTTTAAAGTTAATTTCTGGCCTATATTGATATATTTAGCCTTTGATTTTGGCTTATTATTCAGTTATCTATAAGGTAAAACTCCATTTTAGCGTATTTTATTCTCATCTTGTCGTTCAACTCCAGATGAGCGCATTTTATTATAATAACCGAAACACAACAAAACAGAAAAACACGATTTAAAAAAAATCAAGATTTTTTACAAATCTCGACGTTTTACACCTCACTGAGTCGGAAAAACATAATTTTGCAATGTTGTCCGTATGTCTGTGTGTATGTGTGTGTGTCTGTCTGTGTGTCTCGAAACACGATAACTTGAGTACCTTGAGTTGATGAACATTCATATATAAGTATTTTATCAAAATCGTAGATCCCTATCAACTTTTGAGCGATTTCCGATGACAGGAAGTGGTACTTTTTCTGCTATGATATTTTCAAAAGCCTATAACTTGAGCACTATTTCAGATAGGTTTTATTTTTTATTTTGGGATCCTTGTTGCGGGACGCGGGTTTGTTCACACTACCGCGTAGACGCCCTTGAGCGTGCTGTATGAAAGCATTAAGAGTACGTTAATCATCCTCCGCAATAGTGAGGGTGAATATCTTTCGGTGACCGCCTAGGTGTCAGGGGAGTGACTGGTTACACTACCGTAGGTAGCCTGGTGCAACCCTTTGTTCGGTTTAATCATCGAACGTAGAGTCCTACCATGTCCCTTTTATAGAATATTCGTGTGATTGGTGTCATCTGTACGCCGGGGGGGGGGGGGGGGGGGGGCGTCGAAAGCCGCCACTGTTGCAGATTGACCTTTAAATCAAGTAGTATCCGTGACTCTAAAGTACGCAGAATCAACTGATCTTTTGCAATCAGATATCCGCTGGGTAACTCGGGCGCCCAACCTTCCCACTACTGAAGCGCTGGAGGACACCCCTAGTTCGATTTAGTAATCGATTTTAGTTTTCGTATCACTCCGTATTGTAATAGATTGACGATAGAAGCATGTGATTGTATATAAAACGTTTATTGGCCTCAACTAACATGATGGAAACGAGAGAGGGCGGAAGTGACGAGACACAAAAATATATATACATATAAGGGACATCACTCAAGATAACAGTATAAATATAATACTAATACAAGAAGAGTGAGTTCCCTTGACTTCACAATTCTCACTATATTACATCCCTTTACCCTTAGTAAACACAACACATCTCTCAATAGAACAATTTACAGTATCCTAAAATCACCAAATATATTGTAACATGAACATTATGGTAGATTACATCCTTACAAACAATGCACAATATGTTACAACATAATCAAGATACAAAACAATGATGTCAAAGTCCTTTTGACCTTTAAAATCATAGGTCTAACTTATTTGGGACTTTGATTGTCCTGCTTGACCTTCTCAGTGGCTTTTGATTTGGTGACTCGAGATTCTGACCATATGGATTCTCTATCTCAGGAGGTCTAGGATCTAAATCATTAATTCCAGAATTTACATTTTCTGACTCTAGACTACTTGGTTCACTCATATCAACAGAACTTGGTTGTGGAACAAACTGAGTTGGTGTGAACTGATCAGATTTGGTGGCAATGATAGATTCACACTTATTATCTGCACAAGTTATTTTTAACTGGTCTGCATGTCTACGGACAATAAGTCCATCATTTGTTTTTACTTTATAAGACACAGGTCCTGTACATTGAACAATTTGACCTGGTATCCATTTTTCCCTTCTCCCATAATTTCTTAGATACACATTATCATTAACTGCAAATTCTCTTTCAATGGATGCTTTGTCATGATTTACTTTTTGTGTATGTTGATGTTGGGAGACAGACCTTTGAACAGTTGGATGTAGTAGGTCAAGATGAGTTTTAATTTTCCTACCACATAGCAATTCGCATGGTGCAACACCTGTTGTTATATGAGGAGTTGTGCGGTATTTGGCTAAGAACCTGTTTACTCTTTCTCTGAGAGAACATTTGTTACCGGTACTCATTTTTACCATAGCGGTTTTGAATATGCCTACTGCTCTTTCAGCCAAACCATTCCCAGCAGGATGATAGGGTGATGTGGTTATATGCTCAATACCATTTGCTACACAAAACAGTTTAAACTCATGAGCAGTGAAACTAGGCCCGTTATCTGAAACAATTTGATCAGGTAATCCATGAGTTGAAAATATTTCCTTAAGTTCAATAATGGTATCACTTGCAGTGATTGTGTTCATGATTTTAACTTCTAACCACTTAGAATGTGAATCAATAACAATTAAGATCATTTTGTTCATGAAGGGTCCTGCGAAATCTATATGTATACGTTTCCATGGTTCGATTGGCCAGTCCCAATTTTGCAAAGGTGCTGTAGCTGGTTGATTTGCATGTTGTGCACAGCTTGAACAAAGCTTTACATATTTTTCAATATCAGCATCCATATGTGGCCACCAGAACCACGAGCGTGCAAGACTCTTCATTTTGGAAGAACCAAGATGAGTATCATGTAAAGTTCTTAAAACTTCTTTTTGTAACATTTTGGGGATAATAACTCTTGACCCCCATAGTATACATCCATCTTCTAGACTTAACTCTGTTTTTCTTATTGTATATGGCTTTAAGTCATCATTCACTGACTCTTCAGGCCAACCATTTTTACAGTACTCATATACTTTTATTAAGCACTCATCTTTTTGTGTTTCTCTTTTAATATCATTCACATCTATATTGGAGTTATCCATGATAGTGAAGAGAACAAATACATCTTCTGGTACATAACTAAGGCTTTGGTTTTTTAAAGGTAATCTACTAAGACTATCTGCACTATTCTCAGATCCAGGTTTGTATTTCAATTCATAATTGTATGCAGTTAGTGTGATAGCCCATCTTTGAATTCTTGGTGAGGCATGCTCAGGCAGGGGTTTGTTTTCCCCAAATAAACCTAGCAATGGCTTATGATCTGTAAAGATGGTGAACTTCCTACCAAACAGAAACTTATGAAATTTCTTAACACCAAAAATGATGCTTAAGCCTTCCCTATCTAACTGAGAATAATTTTTCTCAGCCTGGTTCAAAGATCTACTGGCAAAAGCAATGGGTCTGTCACCCTTTTCATCCATGTGGGACAAGACTGCTCCTACACCATCTGGTGAAGCATCACATGTCAAGACAAGTCTTTTCCCTGGGTCATAGTGAGTTAGTAAGGTGTCAGAAGACAAAGCTTCTTTTGCTGTATTAAAAGCAGCATCTTGTTGTTTACCCCAGTGCCAAGTTGCATTTTTCTGCAGCAGCTTGTACAGTGGTGATAATCTACCAGACAGATTCCCTATGAACTTTGCATAGTAATTTATCAAGCCCAAAAAAGCTCTTAGTTGTTGGGTATTTTCAGGTTTGGGTGCTTCTTTAATGGCTTTTGTTTTCTCAGGTTGAGGTCTGAGACCTTGCTTGCTTAATATATAACCAAGAAAACTAATTTCTGTCAGCATGAATTGACATTTATCTTTGTTTATCTTTAAACCTTTTTCACCAACTATTTTCAAGACTTTATCTAGTGTTTTAAGATGTTCAGTGTCATTCTTACCAGTTATGTACAGATTGTCAAAGTAAACACAAACATTTGGAATGTCCTTAAAAATACTGTCCATGACAGCTTGGAAAATTCCAGGACTAGATGATATGCCAAAACATAGTCTTTCATATTGGTAGAGTCCTTTATGTGTGTTTATTGTCGTATAGACTTTTGAATCTGGATGCAGTTCTAGTTGAGTGTAAGCATGACTAAAGTCTAATTCAGTGAATTTGTCTCCTCCTGCCAAATTCAAAGAAATTTCCTCAATGTTAGGAATAGGGTACCTATTTAGCTCTATTTGCTTATTCAGTGTAGCTTTATAGTCTCCACAAATTCTTACAGAACCATCCTTCTTTAACACTGGCACAATGGGCGTTGCCCAATCGGAATAGTCTACCTTCTTTATGATGCCATTAGATTCCAATCTACTTAGCTCATTTTCAATTTTATCCCTCATTGCATAAGGCGGAACTCTAGCTTTGCAGTATCTTGGATTTGTGTCTTTAATGCTTATCTTCACTGTTCTATCATTTAGTAATCCTGAATTACCAAAAACACTTTCATTTTCAGATATAACTTTATCTATTGAAGTAAAACTAGATTCTCTTGCTTTGATCACTGAAAATATACTCTCCCAATTTAACTTAAGATCAACTAACCAGTTCCTACCTAGTAATGGTGGTCCATTTCCTTCAACCACAAGAAGAGGAAGTTTAACACTTTGACCATTATAACTTACATGAACCATACACTCTCCTATCACCGGAACATTGTCACCAGTGTATGTTGTTAGACACTTGTGACATGGTTGTAGAGGCACTGATCCTCCTGTGACAGCGTCAAAGTCCTTCTTTGTGATGACTGTTAGAGATGCTCCAGTGTCAAGTTGGAAGCTGATGCTCTTACCGTTAATATTAACTAGTACATTGATGGGAGCATGACTTATTGATTTCACAGAGAACAGGTTGAAATCCGGCTGCGAATCAGTTTGAGCATTTTCACAGGTAGAGTGGTTCATTGGTTGGGTTAGGTAGTCTTGGTGAGAGTTAACATAGTGCTGCCTTTGGTTGCGGTACTGTCTTGACTGGCTAGATTTAGCAACAGACGAAGACTTTGCAAAGCAGGCCTTGGCAATGTGACCTTGCTTACTGCACTTATAACAAGTTGCTAATTTGAACTTGCATCGATGAGATGCATGGGGACCTTTGCATCGATGACATT